TATCATTTCAATCTAAATTATTCACTTTCTTCTTACACATTACATTTCAGCATAGCAGTTCAGCGTCAGCTTTTCAGCATAAAGCATTCCCACTAGCAATTTCTTCAGGAATTGCATTCTCTAGTGGCAGTTTGATATTCTGTATACATTTGTTTACTATTATAGTTGAAGGAAGACATGTTCGATTATTATTTCTATAAAGTTTGGTAATATTATGTATATTGTTTATGTGTGCATAAGTTATCGTGTATTCATTTCAATTAGTTTATTTCCCTATATACACACACAAACACAAACACATCCAAGTATATAATATCTGTATGTCTACAAAGATAAGTGAGTAAAGGAAGTCAATCCTCATCATCTCAGCTCCTCATTTCTCTTCTCTGGACCTTGGGCATTAAGTGGGTTTACTGAGTTTACCCTCTCACTACAGAACCTGAAAGTGTATCTGTTGCTCGATAAAACAACAAAACGTTATCCATTGTACTTTAATCAAACAACTTGTGTATTTTATTTTTATTTGGCTTAATCGCAAAATTAACATTGAATCTGTTCATACAATCTATAAAATGGGAAGCCAGTTAAAACACTGTGCCCCTGTGGTCTGATGGGGCCCAGTTTCAAAATATGGAGCATTGAATATAACGGAAAGAAAGAGTATTAACATTTACATTTTGTATGATTTCCTTTTAGTAATACATAGTTGCTGCTTGGGGGGTCAGAGAGGCTGAGGGTGACAGAGCAGGGTGAAAGAGCAGGGTGAAAGAGCAGGGTGAGTTGCTCTTCCTGTGCTCATGTTGTAACACCACCCCCCCTCCGCCCACTTCCCCCAACAGTGCAGGTGATAAAATAGAGTGGTGAGAAGTAATCTGGGACTCGTCTGCATGTCCGAATCTCAGTTATCAAACTTTAGTAGAAGTGATACCTTCTGCTCTTTCAATTATACAGGGAAGAGATAAGGACTTTTCCATTAACCTTCTGTCTCTTTAATATAGAAAATAAATTGTGCAGTGGTTACACAAAAATGATCGTTGATAGCTTTCTCTTAAATGGTTTAACAGGAGCTGCAAATGTTTTCAGCTACTGCAATCATTACTCCCAGATAGTTTCTTAGTACTGATTTGAAGATCCCTCTTTGCTGTACTGTCTGTAAAACTGTGGCCTGTTGAACTGATCTTTGGTTCAGAAATATCACTGTGCCATGCACAACATGAACACCCACCCATGTGATGCAGGCAGCTGCATCCACCTGCACATTGCAGCCTGTTTTGTTTCTTTTGTCATTTTTCCTGCAACAAAGATTTCATGGTGGACAGGAAGCTGAATCTTGACCGTAATTTAGAAACAAGAGTTTGTCTAACAATTGGCTCAATCTCTGGTATAATGGTGCTACAGAAAACTTAAAATTGTTCGCACAGCACTAGAAATAGTTTCTTAAAATACAATAATTATTGATTGAACTACGTTGAACATTTCAAGGAGCTCTTTACACAACTCTTCAATTTTGGACAATTTTGTCTGCAGAATAACAATAGTCTTACAAAGCATCCTTTATCATCTTTTTCATAATGACAGGTCATTATCTGGCTGTTATCACCGGCTCACTGCATGACAACATTCTGAGGGTCCACACTCATCCTGATAGCGTGCAGATGGTGGGCTGCAGGGACTCTGCAGAGAGGGGAAAGGCGTGACAATTGTAAATTGTTTTGTCACTGTTATCATAATTTGCAGAATTCTGTGGTCGAACACATTTTAAGCTGCAGCCTATAACTGAATATCAATCGGTCGCAGTTGGTTAAAAAAAGAAGGACTTCAAATTTATAACAAAGTGGAGCGCAGCACAAAAAGTCGCAATAGCCTCAGAAAATAAGGCCATTTAGTTGGAGCTTTATCTGAGTTAATACAGAACCCAACAACTGAGACAAAATGATCTTGAACGGAACAATCTCCGTGTTTTTAAAAAGCTAAAAGATCATGACGGGAAACAATGAGCTACATTTTACTCCTAATGATAATCATATAATGTTCTTGCTTATTACTTTTTTTAAGATGTAGAAATGCTTAACGTTAAGTGGGATAATTTAAGATCACATATTCTGTTCATTTTCATGTTACCTATTTGTATTTTACTCCTGGGACATGTCTCCATGCTTTAATGTTCAAAAAGCTCTTTATTTTTCTCATACTGCCTGTGCTGCAGCAGCTCTTTTCACCCTCTGTCTGAAACCAGAGCCCAGTCTGCTCTGATTGGTTAGCTGGTCAGCTCTGTTAGGATTAGTCAACTCACTGCTTATTGATTATATTAATAATATTATTAATAATATGTTCATCATCACCTCTTTGAGGTCTTAAATGGAAACTGAGTGGATCTGAATCCCTTTGTTTTATGTTGTATTGCTCTTACCCCTTTTTTACAAATATGTACTATGATGTAAGTGGGACATGGAGGAAGCTAGTGTTTCCGTACATTATTGTATGTCGTTTTGCTGGAATCAATCAGCAAAGATAACAACAAATACACAGTTCAGGTATTTCATACCACCTATCTTAATTTAAATCAATGCTAACATGCTTTAACTCATATGTTTCCTCATTTAAAATATTTGATAAATTATTGCCGGATGCCACTTGTTGGAATTTGAGATGATGCGTTATAAAAATAAAAAAAATGGGTACTAGTCGAGGGCCGGACTGGTTCAATGTTTATTGCAAAACGTATTGAAATGAACTTATTGNTTTAACTGCTATTACATTAACACAAAAACCATTAATCATCACCAAATTTCTGTATACCAGTAGTCTGATACAATATTTACAGTTTGAAAGGGTGTTAAATGAAATTTGGTGATGATTAATGGTTTTTGTGTTAATGTAATAGCAGTTAAAACAGGACCGGTCAAATTGACTCGAACATGCTACCCCCTGATTCCAAGTCGAGCACACTATTCACTGAGCCACAGCCTATATCAACAGCCTCATGAACACCAAAGTAAGGGGGGGGAAAACAAACACAACAGGAGGGTTAAAGTTACAAAAGTAAAAGTTCTCATTGTGCAGATTGGTCCATTTCAGAATAATATGATATGTTTTATAATGATTGATCATTAAAGTGTTCTAAAAGCTGGTAAAGGTGCAGTTAGTTTGAATGACTTTGTATACTGCAGGGTAGCTTGTGAATTTACTCCAGGTGGAACTTAAGTCTGATTTAAGTGTTGATTATATTTCACATTTTTTTTACATAATGTATTACTTTTTTATTTAAAATACATATGTGAACTCTCTGTGTTTGCTTGGATATCTTAAAGATATCACTTATTTGTGTTCTGTGCATCTCCATAAAGTCAAAGGCAGCTAAAAGTTGCTGTTGAGTCTCAATGATTCTTGAGTTTGAACCAAGACACAAATACTGTATCTAATGGCCTGGAAGACTGTGAGACACATGGTGAATAACAATTAGCTTGTTAGGATGTAAAGCAGTGATCAGTGACAGTAATAATATGACCACACAGCCACAAAGCATCAACTAAAGAACAGCAAAGCACTGTACTTTAAGGGATATCTTAAATAACAGTAAATATCTTAATTATTTTCTCAAACACAATGGACAGGCTTGAAAAATACATGTATCACTCAGTCAGTGACCAATTATTAAAGAAGGTCTGGCCTGGTGAAAAGTAACCATGGCTCCCCAGAGTGGTTTAGTAGGAATTAACATAGTACCAAAGTCCTGCTCAATGACACTTGGTGTACATGTGTGTGTGTGTGTGTGTGTGTGTGTGTGTGTGTGTGTGTGTGTGTGTGTGTGTGTGTGTGTGTGTGTGTGTGTGTGTGTGTGTGTGTGTGTGTGTGTGTGCGCTTTGCTCTCTCTATATGTTTTCTGATGTAAGAATACTGATTAGATTAAACCGTTTTAGACTTCTTCATTTGAGGACACAATAAGTCATTTAGCCTCGCTACAATAAAGTGCATGCATATCTAATTCTGTTTATGTTCCAATGTATCAGGTGGGAACTTTAGAAGTGTAGGCCAATCAATGTCTGTCAATAAAACATTTTTGTACAGCTTTAGATACAAAAAAACCTTCAGATGTGATCACCCAGTCTTCTCAGTGGCGGTATATTGTGCTTGCTTCTCTATCTTGCTGATTCAAATAAAGCTTGTTGGCACATGGAAGAAGTCAGATTTTAGGTAGAAATCTCCTTAGTTTTATGTAACAACTACACTTGGTCAGGTTAAGATAAAAATAAAGGATTTTGGTTGTAGTAAACCTTTTCTGTCAGGAAGCCATACATACAAAACCCCCAAACCTCCCATGTCAGGGTTGTGCTCGGCTCTTGATTAGAAAAGAAGAGTTGCTTAAGATGTTCTTTGACGATGAATCCAGAGTTTTTTTCATTTTGGCATTTACTTTAGGAAGTAGGTCAAAGGTTAGATATGGTGTTCAAGTTCAAAAAGGTTTTCAAGTAACTCAAAACAGCCATCACATACACCTCGCTTGAATCCTACAGTTCCCATAATGCAACTCAAATTGTGTCTTTCATTCAAGTCTCAGTACTTCCAAAATAATACTTACTTTAAACTCCACACTTTCAGTTTGTTAAGCAAGATTTCTGTTAAAAAAAGTTAAACGTCTTGGCTCAATCTGAGTCAAGACGGCACATTTTATTTTATTGTATTAGTCTACTACTACCACACTACTATGTTTTATTTGTTTCACTCTTTTAAAATAAATGTGTCCCAATTTCTCTGAACCTTTTTTTCGACTGCAGCTTTATATGAGGGAAATAGACATAATTACACCTTACATCTACCACTGTTTTATACCTGTGTATAATTTTGTTGTAATTTTCTTCTGGTGATGGTCTTATTGGAGGCCCACAGCTCAAGCTTGATTTCTTTATCACTCCTAGTTCATAAAATGATATCTTTATTATTCAATTCAGGCAGTTTGTATTATTAATGGAGATAATGTAGCTTCTAATTTTCATAAATCAATTTCAAGTAGTCTTTATCTCTTTCTCCATATCTTGTTAAATCAGCAGTCTTCATTCATTACCAGTCACACATCTCAGTCATGTCCTGACTCTGAGCCAACAGTAGATGGCAGTGTTTGTTCATGTGAGCAAATACTGAGGATGAGGAGGAGGAGGAGGAGGTCCTGTCCTAAAATGCCCTGCATTGTTGCCTTCAGGTTCCACTCAGCCATAGACCATAAAGGAGCATTAATTACAGAATGACACACCTTTTGAGTACTTTGATCAGCCATACCTGGCAATTGTTCTAGAGCTATAAAAACAGCAAGTGGGTCAATGGTGAGAAACAATTGTGCAACATTTGCTCAAGCACACTGACTGAGGATGAACAGAAACATAAAAATAGTATTATGTGAGAGAAAAGGGAGTGAAATGGTCTGATGTAGCAGCAATGCAGCAGAATCATGTAATTAGACATCCTTTCAAAAATCCTGTCTAAAGATGCAAACGTTATATGAATACAAACACAGCAGATTACATTGGTCCAGGGCTCAGTGTAATTAATTAGCTGGATATATTATCCTTCCTTACACAATTGTGCAGCACTGTCCCTCTGTTATGTATTCCACTGTGCACACAGAAGGTCCTGGCAGCTTATTGCATGAACGATTGATTATCATTTTAATTGCAGAGTTTTCTATTTTGATCCTACTGGAACCGCTTGTAAGCATGCTCATTTCATTATTGCTTACCAACACGATTCTACCCTCAAGCACCTGCTCTCATAATGGCATAAATATGAATGGCCTTTACACAAGATAAAACAAGTGAGTGTTTGCACTAGCAGTTAGTGACTTTTCATTAAAACATGTTATTGCTGAGGTGTGCATACAGATGGACATAAAGTGACATGGAGTTAATGATAGCAACATATATGGAATCAAAGCATTATTACAAAATGTACCAGTCGGTCAAAAATCACACTATAATTCTTCCATTAGATACATTGGTGGATGTTTACGCAGTTTCGATAATGCATTCATACATTTACCCGCACCAAAAGCCAAGCATTTTTTGCATGGAGTTTGTACTGTGTGTAAGCTCATGGTCAGCCAGTCTTTATGACTATGGAGTTATTTATGAGTCTTACTCTTCTTTTATATGTAAGATTGGAGGCTGCAGCAAATAGCTTGAATACATTAATCTCCCTCTGAATGTAGAATATCATCTCCTCATTCAAACACAAAAGGGACAACGGTTCTGAAAATCACTGATGAAAATCACTAGTGAATTAAAACATATATTTAACCACAATTGAGACACTCATGTTTGCCCATTTAACAAAACCTTTTTTTTAGCCTCAAAATGAATAAATAATTTGAAATAGATCCCAAAAACAATTCAGAACTTAACAGGCCAGTGTAAGAATAATTTTAATTCCTTTGGTGTCTGCAAACACTTGCATTTAAACAACATTAAAAGATGTGATATACCTGTCAGGCTGAAAAACAAAATTGACATAATAGTTTAAGACATTTTTAAGTGGGTTAAAAAAATACTACAAGTACCAAAGTCACAGTAAGTGAGTTAAGGGAACACTGAGGCACACATTTCACAGGACAATGAACCCATCACAGAGGGGTGATGAAAGAAGCGTGGGGAGAAACAAAATCACCTAAAGCAAAGAGAAATAACATATGTATGCATTGCAAGACAAATGAAGGGTAAACTAAACAATGACATCACTTAACAGGTTAAACACTTTCTGGGATGTTACAAAAATAAAATCCTGGTAAGAAAAAGGGAAAAAACAACACTTCACTCAGAATGTCGTGGAAACACCATATCAATATAATTCAACATACATCATCAAAACTAAGAAATTACAATTATTTCACTGTTCTCTTGAATTAGTAAGCTAAGAGGACTGCTTGAACTGTGCACTCCCTCCTTTTTTAATCGGTTTGAGCTCTACAGTATCTTCAGGTTGAGGCACTTGGAAAGAATATGATTGTACTGAGTGTAGTATATTATGTACATTTGTTTTTATTTGTGTGACTTTAAATCACACTCCTTCCAAAACTCCTGTGCTTTAGCCTTACAGATGTTAAAAAAGTCAGATTTGCTGTTACTGAAACTGAAAGTCACATGGTCAACATGATCTCTTATTCCTCTCCCAACAAGTGAGTGAATGTTAAAAACGCATAGCAGTACAGAAAAATGTTTTTCAGATCATGAGGAGGCCATGATAACCTAGTTACTGATGCCAGATCAGTATTTAGGCTCCAAAGCTTGATGACTCTGACCCAGAAGAAATGGGCTGGGCCTAATCTCTGATCTAAAGAGAGAAGTTGACCAAGATTAGCCTGGCAGGAATCCATCCAACAACACTGAGGTCAGTGCAGGGAATGTGCCGGAAAACTGCTTTTTATTTTCCTCGTGCTTCCCCAAAAGCATCCTACTCTCGCCTCACTAAAATTAATGCCCTCAATACGAAACAAGGAAAGAAAAAACTGGAACATTTTGGAGTCTTCCCTTAAAATGTATCCATGAAACACTTACTACAAAATATCATTTATGAAGCAGATTCACAACTAACCAACGCTACATTTCAATTAAAGGGAAAATAAGATGAATATTCACAGTCAAACATCATTTAGTGAGTTGTGGGCTCATTCTTCCAAAAATAACAAACACCCTGCACACACCGTGTATCACAACTTCTCCATCCCTGGTCCCACACAACACTCCACATGTTAAGAGAACGACTCGACGACACCGACGGTCCCTCTGCTCCACCAGCACTCTGATATAAGTTAAGGCAGGCTGGAAATGTCCCGCTTTGGGGGGGGGCCGTCCGGTTTGCAGGCGCCGCCGTTGGCTTTGTCCTCGAAGATCAGCACTCTGTGGAGGGAGAGAGAAATTCATTAAATAGCAAATAAAACACAAAGGCAATTTTGAAAAGAACACACATTGTCCATACACTGTACGATTCATTCCAATCTAGATCTTTATAATATAAGTGGTTGATTACTTATTTATTTCTTATTAACCTCACAATAAAAGCAATCAATCATGATGCTAATTTTATTTCATGTTTTTCAATGTGATGACATTTGTTGTAAGCGTTTTATTAAAGTAAGGGCTGCAACAAATGGTAGTTTTCATTATCAATTTATATATATTTTTTGTACAATTATTAGACTTATAATTTGGTCAATAACATAAAAAAAACAGACATAATTTGACCTCTTCAAATGGTTTTGGGTGATTTTGTCTTGTGAAGCTGACAATGGAGCGGCCCGACCAAGCAAGGAGGCAGAGGCAGAACGTCCAAAATACCACCAGAACCGCGGTGTTGGGGCATTTATAACTACTCAGATGAACCACAATGGATGACACACAGCCTCAATCCTGCTGAACATGTGCACACCGTCACCAACCACAGGGATCTCCCACACACTACCTGCCAAACAGCAAAACCCCAGAGCCTAAATGCCCAACCCAATCAACCCAACAGGACACAGGTGAGGAGGGAGGAGACAACACAGGGCACCAGGTGCACACAATCAACGGCAACAGACAAGGGGAAAGGGGAACACATTTCAAAATAAAATACAATAAACACTACATCAATCAATAGTATAAATTGTATACAAATATGCACATATGCAAGGCCCGAAGCCATCAGTCCATAGTTACCTTCGTCACATGTCTGCTACTTGATCACAATTTTTGAATTTAAATAAATATTAAAAAGTCAAAAATCTATAGAGATATCGGTTAATTAGCACACACGAGTAAAACAACCAGCAACAATTCACTATGTATATTTTCTACTTTCTTGTATATTTCTAGTCTTTGAATTGTTATTGTACAATGCCTTGTCTTTTTATGCTGCTGCAACACAAAACATTTCCCAAACTGGGATCAATAAAGTAATATCTTATCTTAACGCTTCTGTCAACCGACTACTTAATAAATCCACTGAAACTAGTATGTATTTAAACATGCAGAGATATAAATACTTTGTTTAATGCCCTCAGCACCATGGAATTGTGCATACAGAAATGTAAAATATAAAGAAGGCCGTAGTAAAAGGACGTGAAAAAGACAAGTATACAGGCAGGATGTGTAAGAGAATACACACAGAGCCACAGCTACAGTGTGTGTGAGCGCTGAGTGAGAGGAAAGGAATGAAGGAAAGCACAAAGGGGAGTGAGGGGAATGCTGGTTCAGACTGAACACAGCGGAGTGAGTGATCTGACGGGAGCTATTCAGGGCGAATGCCTGTCTTTAATTTCCTTTTTTGGAAAACTCTGCAAAGCTCCACTAAGCTCTTAAGGAGCCATGATCCCAACCACGAAACGGCCACTCAGCGACTCGGAGCCCGACCAACACACTCTCACTTCTTCTTTTCCTGCACACTGCTGGTGTCCGCTACACGGAGCTGCCTGCAGTCTGTCAAAGCCCCCCCCCCCAGTCACTGATTTATCAAACAGCTCAAATCAACTGTTTTGGAAAATCAAAGGGTACATTCTGTTATTATTCTCTTACTCTATTTTACATGTACATAGTTGACTTATTTCTTCGTTGTAATTGCCCCTTGCACCTTTGTATCCCCTGCAAGGTTTGATTTTGTATTTGTTCTTGCATTATTATTTTTATTTCTGGACGGTAGTAGGTGTGAAGTCCTTTTCTGATATTACCAGACACCTCTAGATATTCACTAGTCAATGAAATCCACATTACTCATGAAAATGATCATTGTGTAAACAAGTTAGGAAAAAAATAAATATTGTGATACATGAGCTCCTTCATAAAGCCTAGCTCTACATATAGGATTTAGATTTTTTTTGTCAAGATCCCTCACATCTGTTTACCGATAATGGTTGTAGAAAATATAAAAACGATAAGGCTCATATTATGGAAGTCTTTGTAAAAAAGAACTAGTGTGAGTGAGTGAGTGTCCTGCCTACATAATTGCACTAATATAAACTCTATTCAAAAGAAGAAGTTAAAAAACTGGACCCAAATTAGGAGCTGACCTCAATCAGTTTCCTCTGATTGTAAGAAGATCAATTGTTGCCGTGCCAAATGCAGCAAACATATCTGTTCTAGAGCGTATTGTCCCCTCAACGTCTCCCCACTCTCTACTCTCTGGAGACAGAAACAGCACACAAGAGAGGCTTTGTAGACTCAGATATCAGAGAAGGGAGCAGCAGGATGCTTTATGAAAGCCTTTAACCAATGTTTCCTTTCCTAATCAGATCAGTGATTACGCATGTACATATTTCACACACTACAAAATGTTTGTAGCCAATACAAGCTTACTCAAATCTACTTTTCTTTCATATTCATATACCATTTGTGATGTTTCAGTACAGTGGATCTATAAGAGATAGCCAACTCCACAATTCTCTAGATTATTTTGGTGTGAGTTATCCAATTTTCGATTTTGTTGAATGCTCTCTTAAATTTGATTTAACAAAATTGCCCTCTTGTAATGCACAAAGCGCCACAAAAATACTAAAACTCAACAGCAATGTGCCTTCCTTTAGCGAAGTGATACCTTTGACGGATTAGGTTGGGTATACAGAAAATAGTCCCCATGTTAAACTGCTGTCAGTAAAGTCTGTGGATTACGTTGAATAACTGGCTCATCATTTCTTAAAAGAAACATTAAAGGTCTCCTATCATGCTATTTTTAGGCTTATATTATGGGTCTCAGATATATACAAATATATAAAAATCTCTATTTCAGGCCTGTTAGAGAACTGCAGGTTCGGGTCCTTAGCTTGAAAACAAAAAAAAGAGGAGGGGGAGCTTGTGCCTGCTCAGAATTCTACAAGATACTCAGCTAAATGCTGCGGTGATGAAACGCCATATCATGTTCCAAACCACATCTGAACATTCTGAAACAGTATGGAGCTCAAAGGCTTTTGCTCTTGCAGGTTTACCACAAGGTGAGTTCCTTTTTTTATTTCCTGCTTTTTTACACATACTCTCTCCAGTACAGGTTAGCTCTGAGTGTTAGCGATGCTTGCTAATGTAAACAAAGACCATATTACGTCCAAAACAGTCAGGCATTGTTTCTGATGATCAGTGGGTCCACATTTCCGATATTACGTCATATCGGATGCAAATCTGGATTAGGTCCGTTGTACCCCCATTTTTAGAGATTTGGGTACGGAGGAAAAGAGAGAGGGTTTTATTTTCTGACACTTTGTGAGACACATATTTATGTATAAAAGACATCAAAAAGTGCATTTTGCATGATAGGTCCCCTTAAAGTGGAAAATAAATGAATAACAGGCGTCAGCTTTTTCTGAAATACAGGGTCCATCTTAAATAACTGGGTAATGATTTCTGAGAGGGGCATTGCTTCATCCTCTTAACTTCAATGCTATGTAAAAAATGCTTCGACAAAAACTGAATTAATGACAGACATAAGCTTATTTCTGAAATACAGGGTCTATCTTCTAGAAAGCTACCAAGTGGACTGGAGTGGCGGGGAGGGGATGAAACACTTATAAATGGAGGCTTGGGGATTATTGAATACACTTTTGAAATATGGTAAAGGACAAAAGGTAGAAAAGTTATGCATTTCCTCTGCTGGGTGATTTTGGGATTATGAGGATTTGTCTAAAGGCTCCAGCATTGCTCACATGCTGCAGTAAATACACACTTTCTCTTTCAGTGTGACTCAATGCAAGGCTGCTTTAAAAAGGCTTAGACTCACCTCACTAACCCGTGTGAGAACGGAAATAATATACCATATCCACTATAGCTATTCATTTCTATTGTAAAAGTGGAATTCGCTTGAAAGAATCTGAGGTTATCTGGTGTTTTTGTCCTATGTTACTGTGGGGTTGTTAAAAAAAAAAAGAGACAATAACAGAACAAAAAGTTTTCCATTTAAATACATAATTGAACATATAATAATACTCTTATTTTCATTCGGTTGATTCCTTTTTTAAATATTAAAGTGTCCAAGTTAAGGAAGGCTTTGTTAAAGTTGCCTTTTCTATACACATTTTGACCTAAATTCACCAAGAATGTACTTTTGCCACCATATTTAGGAGCTTAGTGGTCCATATTTCCAGTGGTAAAAGATATTAAACGTGTCTCCCTGGACTGTCAGTGGTTAATCCGCTGCAATCAGTTACCTAAGCTCCTGATCCCAGCTCAGGATAAGGATGGGTCAACTATGGATAGGTTTGTTGCTATTGAGATTAACGCAGCTGGTGTTAGTGACATCATCATTAGTCATCCCAATATCCCCTGCTGCAGGAGGAAACAATCGGCTGACACGACACATGATTCACATCCCACACACACAGACCCACAATGCAGCAGCAGGTGGCTTATAGACATCATTTAACACAAAGGGGGTGTGACAAATGTATTACAAGGAAATGTAAAATACTCGCCTGTAAACATTAAGCTTCTACTATTCATACAGCATGTGATGCAAATGTGTGAGGGTTACAACCATTGCCGGAAAATGTATTTACGGCAGTTCATTTTTAAGATAAAAATGATGGACTTAACATCATTCATTTACTTGATTTTCTTCAAGCGAGTGCATTAGAGCTGATTCTGGAAAACAGAAACGCAGAGTATAAATTTAGGGCTTTTATTTTGAAAGGAAAGAACTAAAGGAGTGGATCTGATGCGCTGTCAGCGTGGAAAAGAATGGTGCGCTTTGGACCAAGATCCTATGTTGGAGTTTCATAATCCAAATTAGTATAGAGGAAACTCGTAACACTTGGCCACGAATTTCTTAACGTACTGTCCATTCTGCTTGATGCCTTAATCTGCGGAGTAAATGATCCGAAGAAATCGACCTTCTCCCGACGAAAGATTGCTTTTCTTTTATTTTCTTCACGTTCAGTCTACCAAGCCTTAAATACTTATAGAAAAAATATAATGCTGTTAAGATTAATTGGACAAAAAAACCCTTCTTCTGTGTAAAGGCCTTGACTCTGCAAGTGTGTAAAAACTGTTACTTACAGTTTGAGCACCGCTGAGCGCTTGCCCAGCATCATCTTGACGAAGTCTCTGTAGTTGATGGTGTTGCTGCTGCCGCCCGTCACCTCCACGATCATCTTCTTCAGCTCCAGGTGGGTCTTCGGGACCCCCATCTTCTCCATCGTCCGCTTCAGACCCATCATATCTGAGGAGGACCAGTCACCAGGTTAGATATTTATCAAGGCGCAAATATGTATTCCTTACAAATATTGGACTGTAAGGAAACCACAACATTATCGAAATGCTTAGTTTTACGTATCTTAAGCATTTTGAAAGGGGACATCAGTAATTCCACACATGCTCTGTTTACTCTGTATTACGTGGAGAACTAATACGGGCCTGTACATCTCAGTTGTTACAATGGAAATAATGTAGTTTTAGTAAGGTTAAAAAAGAAAAAACTTGATATCAGATGGGGTTTGGTTGTGTTTGTCTGTTTAATGAGGAAAATTGGTTTTGCAAGTTTATTTTGTTTATTTAAAAACACTAAATAAAAGCTTGGGGAACATATTGAACTTACCTCTGGAAAACAGAGATGAAACTACACAAACCTTCCCAAATACATGAAATGTATATTGTTGGTTGTTGTTGCGACATCAATCAGTTGGAAAGTTTTAACATACTCTATTGCCCAACTCTAATTTAAATGCTGATGAAAGCACTAGAAAAAAGTTAAGGGATCACCAAAGTATTTCAAATTCATCTTTTGGACAGCATGGACATCTGCACCTACTGTTAATGCAAGCTACTTATAGTTGTTGAGATGTTTCAGATTGGACCACAGTGGGGGACCAAGCAACTGACATTGCCATCTGTTAGCCGCTAACGTGGCTACAAACGACACAAGTTGACATAAAGGACAATCAGCAGCTTCTCTCTACCTGCAGACAGACATCTGCTCAGGAACACCCTCACAGCGGTGGACAGTATTGTCTTACACACACACACACACACACACACACACACACACACACACACACACACACACACACACACACACACACACACACACACACACACACACACACACACACACACACACACACACACACACTATCTGGTACAGTTGTTGTTGTTTTAGTGCAACTATAACTCACCTATCTCTCCTTGGTCATTCAGGTCAAACTCGGCATATTTATCTGCAAAACAAAACACACACAAGGGATTATTATACACACACACACACACACACACCACATCGCCTTCAGCAACATTTAAACAAAGAAATCACCAGCTGGCATCTTACATGTCAGCAAAAGTGTTAACAGAGACCTCAGTGTCTAAAAGGACAGGCACTAACAGCTGATGATGACAGGTGTGTTTTTCTGTGTGTGTGTGTTTTGGTTGTCTGTCAGTGGTCAGCAGCTGAGTGGGGTTGACATCGGAGACAGATTAGAGTGAGAGGGTCAGGAAGTTAAAGGAGAACTCAGAGTTCAAACACAGCAATAAGGAAGGAAACCAAAAAGGCTTGGCTGGACAATTTTAAGACTTGGATACAAATGTTGCTCTCAGTCACAAATGAAATCTGGTGCTACTAGCCTGCAGAAAAAACACTTATGAAGATCCCACATCAATGAAGTATAATATTGCAACTTTTCAGAAGGTAAGAATTGCATTTGGAGCCTTGTTGTTGTTCTAAAGATGTGCAAAGAACAATGTAAGTTTCCTGCAGATGGCCATTAAGCTTAAAGGAATAGTTGGAACGTGTTTTAAATAAAACTAGTTATCTTCCCTACTAAGAGTTATACGAGAGGACCGACAGCACACTCATATCTGCTGATAAATAAGGAGCTGGGGTCAGTTAGCTTAGCATAAAGACTGCAAGCAGAGGGAAACATGCTAGCCTGGTTTTGAATGATGGTTAAAGAAATAGCGGACACAAGCGATCGTGTTATGAACATTTTCACTTTGTAAGGGGATGCTCGTTAAACAATTTCTTTAAATGGGAAATATGTTTTCTATACGTCACAATGTATTTTGTAATTTTAAATCAATACTGACAAAAGAGAAGAGGAGTAATTTGACTAATCTCATAATCAACCTTTAGGCATTCCTATTACGTTCATTATGCGGTTATCTTTAAAAAACAAAAAGAAACATTCCCGCTTCTTCCTAAATTTCAGTATTCTCTTTTGTCAAGAAGACCACTTTAGTCAGATTACACTGATTTCTGTTGCACAGTGAAAGCTGTGTGTGTGTGTGTGTGTGTGTGTGGGGGAGAAAGAGAGAGGACTGTGTTAACTGTGTGAACCCAAGGGGAGAGGGACAGGACAATGCTAACCCTGTCTCTGAGAAAGGGGCCTCCACACACACACACACACACACACGCATCTACACACACACATGCATCTACACAAAAACACACACACACACACACACACGCATCTACACAAAAACACACACACACACACACACCAAGCTTTTGAGAGGGCCACTTGTCACAGAGCAGCCTGTTGATCATCTGCAGACACAGAAAATGGCTCGACCAAATGAAAATGTCTTTAGCGCATCCTCCTGTCCTAAATTCCTTCAGCAGAGGATGTAACAAAATACATAACAGCCATTTTATGACAAGATTTGGATTTGTATCTCTTTCTGTTTGACATCATAAAGATGTCTGCGATACAAATGTATTACATTTGAGTTGTATGGTGGTGAGTTTGAATACTTAGAGTTGTGGCAGATATCATTTGAAGGGGCTTTTCCATTTAATAAAATAGAACAAACCCTGGTGATAAATAGTTGAAATAACTTCCCCTGCCACTGCCCGGCCAACAGATAATAAACAATGAACTTTTTTCCCACGCTTTTAAAATGACACTGATCCTACAGTATGGCCATAAAAAAAACACACCATGATTATTTAAAAGGAGGCCCTGTTGTGCTTTTTGGGGGTTTCCCTTTCCTGGAGTGTGTCATACTGAAAAGAAATACAGTATGATAAAAATAAAGACCTTTTAGAACATTAAAGCATTTAAACATGTCACAGTAGAGAAACAAAATACGAACCTGAAAATAAGCATATTAGGGCCCCTTTAATAAAACATTTTTTTTTTTTTTTT